CAACGCGGAGAGCGAGAGGGCGAGGAGCGTGTGCGGCAACCGTGCGCGGATACACCTTATGACTATTAAGGTATTCACGGCTCCTCGGAGGACGCCCCACTTTGAAATATGGCACCTCCAGTCATCCTCTGCATGCCGGGAATCACCCTCTTCCCTCCTTTGCTTGCCCGGAACCGACCGGCCACCCCTGCATCCCCCGCCCTCGATCCTTTTATTCCGCGTATCTCGGTCCTCTGACCGCGCACACACGTCCCCGCGCCCTGCGCCCGCTCCTCCATATTATTTACAGCCTCGTCCCCCGCGTTATTTCGCAATAAATTGAGGAGACCGGCTCTGCCTACGCTGCGGCTCAGTGTCACCAAATTGGTGGAAACCGAGAACGTCGTAACCCGCCTCGCGCCTGACATCCCTGAGTGATGTACTATCGCGCGGAACCGACGGCTGCGACGGATCCACCCCCGCGAACACGGGACGGGGAATCGATACGCGTGACCGCGGGTGACGATATTTTTATTGTCGACCCGCCGCCGAACCGACGGCCCGCTCCTACCCGAAATTCAGTCGTCGGCGAAGCGGCCGCGGCGTTTCGCCACCGACGATTCCTCTCTTCCTCTGCGGCGACGATTCCGCGATTTCTTTGTATGTGTATTTTACCGAATTCTGGTCAGCGGGGTGAAAACTTACTTCTCGCAGCAGCCAGGAGTAATTCGGAATTTTTTCTTGGCGACTATCGATTGTATATGAAAATGAGCTTTTCTAAGATGAAAAGTTACGTTCTCGAGCTACGAGGACAGGTTTTTTAAAGTTGCTTTAATTACTTGAGAGTATGCAGTCGTATAAGACGTGGAGTTGATCGTCGTGCTGCAATTACGAAAATAAGCGATCTTTGTGAATTTTTTTCTAGGGAACCATCGACTATGGGAGGATAAACTGTTTTGGGATGTATAGATACAACTTTGAGCTGCAAGAACATATTTTTTAAAGTTTATTTTTGGTTTAATTACTAGACGGTGTCTGGTAAGGGTAGTTATTTTACAGGGTATAGTAATTTCTCCCGGAAATGCCAATTTTCGTTAATTTCCCTGTGCTAGTTCTGCGCCTATGTAATTTATTGCCACGTCGGTGTGGAATTGCTTTCGAATCGTGACAAAAAATCAGAAATAAAAAAATTAAGGTCATCGTTTTTATTCTAGCATTACTATGTATTTCTAAAAAAAAATGAGCCGCGAGTCTTGAAGAATCGCGACTTAGTATTCTCGGATCTGCCGGTTTCAATTCCGATCTCCGAACATTTCTGGGAGAAATTACTGTAGTTCGAAAGGGTAATGCTTGGTGCACGAAATTGAGCGATCTTTATGAATTTTTTTCTAGGAAACTGAGAACTATACGAAAATGATCTGCCTTGGGATGCATAAATACATCCTTGGGCTATAAGAAAATATATTTTTAAGTTGCTTTTGTTGGTTGGTTTTGCTGGTTCGCGAACCAGTTACGAAAATAACCGATCTCTACGATCTTTTCCCAGGAAACTATCGAACATTTGAAAATGACATTTCTTGCTGTGTCTACACGCATCCATGCGCTACAAAAAAATATTTCCCAAAGTAGCATTCGTCCCTCTATTTACCGAACAGCGTACAATCCTATTCAAAAGGCTGTTCCTCGCGCAGCAGCTAAAGTAATCGATCTCTAGGCCCTTTTTGCCAGGAAAGTGTCGCTAATATGAATGAATTTTCACTGAATTTTCTTGAGACGTATAAACGCATGCTCGACTTACAAGAACACGTTCATCCAAGTTGCATCTGTCGTTGCTCCACTGGTCAGCATACAATCGTGTAGTTCGAAGGTCGTTTCCAAGACGTACCTCGTCGAACCTCCGAGCCACAGAAAATTCATCAGAATTGATTTCATTTGTAATGAACGAACACGGGCGGTCTCCGCGCGTCGCAAACACAGCCGAACGATGTCTCGACGAAGATTCCGGGCGTACCTGTCCGTGTAAAACGAACAGGCCCGATAAATCTGGCGTTGATACGCGCCGAGCGATAATCACGTCATTATCCGAACAAATAAACGGGGCCGCCGAACGGCGCAGGCTCGGTGCTATTTAATAATGAGACGCTCTCTATTACTCAATGGCTGTTAGAGAGGGTGGCAACCGGGAGTGGATCCTGAAGGGCTGGAAGGGGGGAGGGGGAGAGCGACGGGATTCGGTTCCACTCGGTTCACGGTGCAATCGGTTAATCACCGCTCTCTCATCCCCATTCCTGAGACACGATTTAAGCGGCAGCGTGCCCGCCACCCCCGCGACTCCCCATATCAATTAATCTTACCCAGAATGCAATAACTGTCCAATCTGCCCCCGTGGCTGCGTCATGGTGTCGTGCAGTCAGTGCCGTAACGCTCTCTCTGTTCCGGCATCCTCGTCCAACCACCGCGGCCGTTCGTCTTTCTCTCGTCTCTCCGTCGTTTTTCCTCCGCCAGCCTCCCCCCCCCCCCCCGGCTTCCCCCCCCGG